ACCACACACGCCGGCCATCTGTGGACTAGGTCTTAGTGGAGACTGAGTACCAATGTGTACCCAACCTGTTTCCCAATTAATGGGGAAGTTGGAGCTTAGATCGAGGGAACCCTGGAGAAAGCACCCTTTGAATGCAAACGTCATCTCCTGTAGTGTTTCTCCTGCTTGCCGACAAGGAGGCTTCTGCAGTGTAGGCAACATGCTCCTCCTTCAGCTTGTCTACTTGAACTGAATGGAATGAAATTTGTCCTGACATGCCCTCGAATATCGGAGGCAAACCCGGAGCCGGCAAGGAATGAGACCCACAACATGGGTATGGCCTCGTCGTTGCCAGCATGACTGAGTAGACCTCGACCTGCATTAACAGACTGTGAGGATGCAATCAAATCAATAGGGGACACTTGCCGGGCCCCACTCAACGCCGAAGTACCGGGGGTACTAGTAGTCGAACAAGAGGACTTCCCACTAACACTTACACTAACTCTCTCTCACGTCCACAGAGCCAAACGCACCGACCATGCGACTAGCCTGAGTTAAGGTGACACAATCAGCCTAGGCCACATGAACACGGTTTTGGAAACTGTTCCAGGTTTTCAGGTCCTAATAGAAGCACACGCCCGTGAGGCTAACCCTGAACGCATTCAAGGCAAAGATAATATTTTGGTGCTGTTCCAAGCAGGGAGTTCCTGGCGACAAACCCGGGAGGTGGGGGAGGTGCTCTTTCTAGAGTGTTTTCCCTTCTTCATATCCAGTATTAATATACGCTAAAAATAAACAAGGCACTCATGAGTGGAACGTAATTTCAGTTGGAAACTGACACAATGAAGCCCTACAAAAGTTGTCAAGCGCATCATCAGAGTTGTTTGTGTAGTACAAAGGACAAGGTGCCTAAAACAAGGAAATGTTAGCTTACCACACACTACTACTTACTGTTATCAAACCTCAGAAAGGGCAGACGAAAGGCTGCCCTGACCTTGATTTTTGTCTCCGTCTGAATCGAATTGGCTGATTAATGCATATATTTAAAATAGTCAGTTGACTAACCAGCATCTATGGTGGGTAATTGAACATATGAAATAGCAAATTACAGAAGAGTTGCTGACTCAAAAAAGTACAATAATTGAATAATTACAAAGCATGCGTTAGAGACATGCCTAAGCATAATGCATAATAAAAACGATTTCTGATCACTTAAGAAGATGACCTATGGCGTATTCGGACAACCCAATCAAGATATCTCGGTATATGTAGTGGAGTCTGGAATAGAAAAGCAATTGTAATTAGTTTCAAAAACACTACGAAATCTACGGATCTATCAGCCAATATCTCCCAGTCATCGTTAACCAGGACAAGTTCTTCCCAAAGTTTGGGTAGTAATAATATTCCGATGACATCTCAAATCCTGGTAAACAATAATGGAGGATGTGGCTATTATAACTCTATCCGAAGTCTCGGACTGTGAAATTTGTGATTGGTTTCACATCAGGATTATTCCACTCACGACTCAAACCATTAACATTTTATAACACAGCGTAGATATCACGATCAGAACAGTTACTATTTACGTTGTCCTATGTGCCAGTTGTGAATGAATATCAGGGATTATCAGATTATGTTTTAATAAGTCTACACATGTACAACTTAATCAACGACCATACAAATAAAATTTTTCTACTTGTCAACGTTTTTTTTTTACATTAGTATGTATAGTTTGAACAACAAACGCACCATTATGTGTTCAGGGTACGAAACTTCTAGAAATTACCTATGTGCATATTCCTCTTGTGGTCAATGTACGACTGACCCCCCAGGTGGTGGTTGGGGTCAATCAAAGAGCATACTGAATAGGTTACGTGTGTTAGACTCGTCGAAATTTATTTTTTTCCCACATTTGTATGAACAGCTTGAACAACAAACCCACCATTATTTTTTTAGTTTAGATATTTTGATAGTATGGCGTGAAGTATTATAATTAGTGTAAACGGCAATGCCCTTCATTATATGATAATTGCGTAGTGTCCTTATTGAACACAACACTGTTATTTAGTCTCCACACTTTTTTCCCATATTTTCAATAACTAAATGAATTTTGTCATACAATTTAGAAATATGTTCTCCTGAAATTGGGCATCTAATTATTTGTTTTTACATTCTACAAATGACGTGCATTATGGATTCACATAACATTTGAGATGCCAATCAAACTATTTTTACAATCGTAGACAATAGTTGATATAATCCTATCATTATGCTGTCTGGGTTTGAAAGCACACCTGCATCCTGCATCAACAATTCAGTATGCCAATATGTTGTTGTCTACAGAAGAAAAACCAGAGGCTGATGAATATGGTCATTTTTTCAAACAGTTAGTGGTGTTATAACATTTTAGAAAAATGTCACTGTCGAGTCTCTTTCATTCTTCATATCATACAATAATTTAATATTTATTTTGACATAGAATGTTTTGTACAGTACAACGAGAGAGGAATTTTGTATTTTCGAAATGCCTTTGAAATATAAAACTACATAAAGCTATAGGTGCTAGTCATAAATATGATAAAGATAGGGTGTCCTTATTTGCTGATATCTTCCACTAGCTTTGGGCCAGACTACTGAGCTACTAAGCTTGTCATGCTTGTAGATTGAACACTTAGATATTTATTTGCAAAACAAAAAAAAACTTTTCAAAAACGTTGTGTTATAAACATTTCAATACATTTTACATCACCTCCACATTATACCCTTGGGCCCTCTATCTTTCTGTGACAGGTTTGACTGGTTGTTCTCTTGTACTCATATTCTTTTAATGTAACTTTGATTATCTTATAGTAAATTGTCCTTCTCATTTTTCGAATCCGACCGAGAGTGGCCAGATTAAACAAA